TGCACCTTTCTTTGCACAAAACCATGCAGAAATTTCCATCAAGCCAGTCACTTTGAAGATATATCAAAGTTATGAATGTATTCTTGTGGCTGAGAGCCAGAAAGACCAAATAGCTGAAAACTCTGTCATGTCCAGTCAAAAAAACTAGAGTCTGTCCTTAAGCAGGACAATTTATAAGTGGTCATGCCAGGATGATTTGCTTTTAAAAAAACAAGAGCATAACCAAAACCCAAACAAATGCAGGAACAGCAATAACATTACTCTGGAAAAATATTTGAGTTCCTATACTAATAGGTGTAGAGTATCATAAAGAGAGAAAAAAAAACCCCAAATATGCAGGAATGGTAATACTAAATGCCATAAATATAATAATAAATAAAACTCTGGTGTTCTCTCTGACTTCAAATGTAGCTGTAAACAGCTTCTTTTGCAGAGAGGCAGCACCAGGAGTATGTATTTCTTGAAGCAAAGAAGGTTTTTATATTCTAGTTGTGTGGGGCTGACTCACAAGTCATCAGTTTTGAGGAGAGTTAGAGGAGAACTAATAAGGGAACTAAGTGACACCACTGCTACATTTTGCTGTCCTTGGGGCTACTGTTTTCAAATTGTGAAAACAACCACAAACATAATGCCTGACAAATATTTATTCCACAATGAGATGGTGCAGCCTTTATTATTTTATGGACAAAATTATTTTGTTACTAAGCAGCAAAAAAATCTGAAACGTGACAGAAGAGTGAGAGAAGCTTTAGAGGAAAATTTGAAATAAAATGAAAGCCTGGAAGTGAATGAAACTGGGATAGAGTACAGAAGGGAAAAGCAAAAGTAAAAACAGATCACTCTGGCAGTGGTGCCCTTTGACAACTATCAAGATAGACCAAATGCAGTAGACATGGACTTCATTAAGGCACTCAGTGTGGTGCAGAGTATGGGGTGAGAACAATTACAAGAGGCTAAAGGTATCAAGTAAAGAGAAGTCATTAACAATAATTTCTGTTGCACAGCAGGACCAGACTGGCTGCATATGTTCGAGGAGATGACAGACCAGAGCAGAAATTTTTCAGATGAGGTCCAAAAGCTGTCAGTGCATGGCTGGGAAGAGAAACATGGACAGCTCTGGGAGTTCCTATGTGAGACAGAACAAGTTCAAGCTCTAGTGGTCTGACATTGGGCAGCTCTAGACTGGCTGGTACCAGGGCAAGAAGCCCAAAGAGCAAAGCCTGTGCCTGAGCAGCTGTGGCTGCTCTATTTCTGTGCATAATAGACCACAAGAATCAAACACCTTAAAATAATCCACAGTAATGTTCCATCCTGTATTGGGTCTGGCTGAGATGGAATTAATTTTCCCTGTGCCAGCCCTCCTAGTGCTGTAATTTGCTTTGGTAGCTAGAAGGGTGTTGATAACACACCAGTGTTTTGGCTATTGCTGAGCAGTGCTTGCACAGCATCAAGGTTGTCTCTCCAACATTTCCCCCTCCACCAGTAGGCCTGGGAGTGGGCAAAAGCTTGGGAGGGGTCATAACCAGGATACCCGACCCAAACTGATCAAAGGCTCTACTCAGCCAAAGCTAAGACAAAGGAGAAGGAAGGAAGGCATTCATTATTTATTACATTTGTCTTCCAGGGCAACCACTACACATACTGAAGCCCTGCTTCCCACAAAATAGTCCAATATTGCTTGCTGATGGGAAGTAGAGAATTAAATCTTTTGGGTTCTTTCCTTTGCTTACATGCAAACAACCTTTGCTTTTGCTTTAGTAAACTGCCCTTATCTTGATCCATGAGTTTTTTCCCCATCTTATTTTCTCTGCCCCTGTTCTGCCGAGGAGAGGAGTGAGGGAGTGTCTCGGTGAGCAACTGGCTTTCAGCCAAGGTCAACCCACCACACATCCTTACAACTGAAGAAACGGTCAAAAATAAAAATAAAGATTAAAATTCTATAATGAAAAATTCTGAAACCCAAGCTGGAGGCTTGTCTTTCAGTCCATGTTAGATTGCACGTGGCATCTGGCTGTGAATATATACATCAAATGCCAAGTAGCTGAATTGTGCATGTGAAGTGCCAATGGCAGAAAGCAGCAGTGGTATTTCAGTGTGTGAGATACCAGCAGTGCAGTGAAGTGTGGAAAAGGGGCTGACTTTCATCATGTATGTGAAACTTGGCAAGTCCAGGAATGTTTTAGGTGAGATATCTCCATCTGAAAGGAGAAGGCATTGATCTCCACGTAGAAGGTACTAGGATACTTGGCACATACTATTTTAGCTGCCCATATGCAAGAAGAATGAACCAAATTCAGAACAGGTGCAGGGCAGGCAGGTGAGAATGATCAGCAATTTGAGAGTCTGTCTTTAGAGATGAGTGAAAAATCTTGTCTTTTTCTGCAGAGCAAAACAAAGCCAGAGACTGGATGTAATTCCCTCTATAAATAAACACACGGGAAAGGAAAAGCAAGAAATACTTAAACTAAATGACAACATCAGCACAGAACATATAGATATAAATTGGCCAGAAGTCTGGAAATTAGCAGAGGTTTCTAACAGCTCTGGAACTTATTCATTAGGAACAGCATTGTGTTGTATGATTTTGTTGACTGCAGAAGCCAAGGAAACTAGGCTCAAACATCAGAAGTTCCCTTCCAGTCTTCTCTTCCATATTTATCACCTCCACTAATCAATGCTAAATACTCAGCCAGAGCATACAGAGTGTTAAATCTTTTCTACCTCCTTTTCTTAGAGGAAATACTGCAAATGCTAGAAATTATGCAAAGCGAGTATTTGCTGTTTGCCACCATGAACCCCTACAAGGTCCCGGAGTCTGGATTATGTCCTATGCTATTTCTATACATGTACACACATAAATTCATACATGTATGTGTACAGGCATGGGGAGATGTTTACAAGCGCACATACAGGGCACACATATGCATGACTGAAACGGGCTGGGTTTTTTTATTTCTCAGGAGTTCATTAGGGTAGTCCAGTACTATCTTTTTCTTCCTTATACTAGAGTAACGAATTGTGGAACCACCCTTCTGCATTTTGAACACTGCACAAGCCACGTGTCTGTGTGATCTCATATATATCACAGCGTCTCATCCGAGCCAGAGTGTAAGAGAAGGAATATGTCACTGGAAAATGCTGAATTTCTGTCCCTTACTGTCTTGGTAGGGATCACACACATGCAATTGCCAGGAGGAGCGTGGAAGCAGCAGCTGGTACAGTTCCCCCTGCCTGAAGCTGTGACCTGGTATGTTCTCCTGTTTAGCTTCCGTGCATGTGTGTGTGTGTGTGTGCGCTGGTATGTATGTGCACATACGCACCTCACACTAACACGGGTGAATGTGCCTCAGACTAGTCTGTTAACCTTACACATTTCAAGTTGCTTCTTTTAAGGGCATGGTACCACATGGCCTGGAGCTACAGAATGCATGTTGCAGAGAAAGCCAAGCGTAACCTATGGCTCGTGCATGGAGAAGGAGTTATGGGTGACAGGCATGGTCTGTTCGCCTGTCACACCACAGAAGTGGGTCCCTGTGACACAGCTCCACAGGCCTCGTTTGTTTATCTGTCTCGTACTGGTTGTCCTGTGTTTTTTCAGGTCAGTGTGTGAGTGCATGTGTGGGTGTGCATGTGTGCCTTGCCAAAATAGTCTCGGGTATCTCAGGCCATGGGACAGACTATGTATGTGCCTGTCAACAGGGTAATGCCAGTTCAGTAACAACAGTCATATGTATTTTAGGCTAAGGTGTGCGTCAGTCAAACTCCAAGTGCGCCTTGCCTGTGTTTGTCGGGCCAGCGGGTGGATGTTTGTGTCTCATGATCCCTGTGTGCCAGAGCAGCTCGTCTGCTTGTCCCTCTCCCTCTGACTGTTGCATATCACAGGATACTCTGAGTGTATGTGCCAGGATTCTCCGAGAGCTAAATTCTCTGTATGTCTAACAGCAACAGTCCCAAATGCCTCAGAGCAACCTCTGTCTTGCAGTGATAGTAGCCCATGTTCCTCAGGCCAGTGTCTGTCTGTCTGTCAGTGACACAGGCTCATGTGCCTGAGAACACTGAATGTGCCTCACAGTGACACACTGTCACACCTCAGTGACAGTGACAGTCACGCACCTCAGTGCAGCATGTGTCCGTACATCCCCATGACACAGCCCCACAGGCCTCAGACTGATGTGACAGCCACATGCCTTGGACCCGTGTGCCTCAGCCCCTGACAGAGTGACACAGCCGCACGCCTCAGACCCGTGGGTAAGCGTGCCTTGCAGTGATGCAGCCCTGCATGACCCAGCTCCATGTCTGTCTGTCTGTCCGTCAGTCTGTCCGTCTGTGCCAGAAGCCCACCTGCCTCAGACTCACATGTCTGCCTGAGGGTGTCATGGGCTCATGTCCCTCTGAGGTGCCCCTGTCACATGCGAGCCCCAGGGCTGTGCACACCCCACGGTGCCACAGCCTCCACATCTGGGGGTCGGTGTGCATGTGTGTGAAGAGACTGTATGTGTGTGTGTGTGTGTGTGTGTGTGTGTGTGTGTGTGTGTGTGTGTGAGGGGACTGCATGTGTGTGAGGGGACTGTGAGTGCGTGTGTGAGGGGATTGTGTGTGTGTGTGAGGAGACTGTGTGTGAGCAGTGCTGTGCGTTTGTGAGGGGACCGCGTGTTTGTGTGAGGGGACCTTGCATGTGAGACGTGCTGTGCGTGTGTGTCTGTGACGGGACCGTGCGCGAGTGGTGCTGTGTGTGCGGCGGGAGGAGACCGCGCGTGGGTGAGGGGATCGTGTGTGTGCGTATGAGGAGACTGTACGTCTGTATGAGGGGACCGTGCATGTGTGAATGGACCATACACGTGTGTGAGGGGACCGTGTGTGTGTGAAGGGACCGTGCGTGCGAGCGCGGGCGGGCAGCCGAGGCCGAGCCCGGGGGGCAGCGGCCCCGCACGTCAGCGCGGAGCGGGGCGGGCGGCGGCGGCGGCAGCGCCCTTAAAGGCGGGCGGCGGCGGCGCGGGCAGCGCGCAGGGCTCGGCGGCGGCGGGGAGCGAAAGCAGCCTGAGGCGGCGGCTGTAGCCACAGCCACCCTCCCACACAGCATGTCGGGCACCCGGGCGTCCAACGACCGCAGCAGCCACCCCGCCGCCGGCGGCGGGCTGAAGCGGGCGCGCAGCGAGCCGGGCGGTAACAAAGTGACCGTGGTGCTGGGGGCGCAGTGGGGGGACGAAGGCAAGGGCAAGGTGGTCGACCTGCTGGCCACCGAGTCGGACATTGTGTGCCGGTGCCAGGTGGGTGCCGGGCCGGCTCTTATCAACCGCTCCCTGGGCGCTTCCCCGCCCTGCGTTCCGTGCTCCCCGCGGCTCCCGCTTTCCCCCAGCTCCCCCCGGGCCCGGCGCCCTCCTCGCCGTGCGGGTCCCCTCGGCCTTCTGCTGCTCCCCCTTTTCCTCCCTCCAGCCTTGTTTCCCTCCGCCTGCCCGCCGCTCTTCGCTCTTCTGCTGCTCCTCGCTCCCGCTGGTCTCCTCCCTCCCCGCTCCCGGTTCCCCGCTCCCTCTCCCGCAGCCAGCGGCGGGGCGCGAGCGTGTCCCGGTGGGCAGCCCTGTGTCCCCCACACCCCCCCTCCGACCCTCCCCGGCTGCGCCTCCAAATGCCACTCGGAAAGAAAAAGCCCTGAGCTATAAATATAAATAGCTGACCCTTCACGATAAGCGACACTGGATCCCGAGGGGGCGGGGGAGGGAGGGGGGCCGGGGCCGCCTGCCCGGGGGTGCCCGGGGAGGAGCCTTGGGAAGCCGGGACCCGGGGACCCGGGTGCGGTCCGGGCTTGCAAGGATGTTCTGCCTGCGAAGGGCTGGGTGGGTGTCTCCGGGCGTGCTGCTTCTCCGGGGAAAATCGCTAATGAACCTCAGGAGTCTGCCAAAGTTTTACTGCAGGGGCTGTTTCGGATGGGCGGGTTGCGTTCCCTGCAAAGCGCCTGGAATTGTATTATAAAAAATATTTTAGAGTGGAGCGTGAGTAAAATAGGGGGAAAAAAAAACAAGTTATGTAAAAAATAGAAGATTTAGAGTTGCATGAAACCAGGGAACATCTTGCGTGGCTTTGCTTATATCTATTTTTGAGTTGAATATGATGCGAGTATTCTCAAAACAATATATTTGCCTAGTACAAACCTAATTAGACACAAAGGTGATCCCAAACAGAATCTTAAAATGGTTTGGAAGGACCTTAAAGATCACCCAGTTCCAACTCCCCTGTCATGACCTGGGACACTTTCCATCCAGCCTGGCCTTGAACACTTCCAGGGATGGAGTATCAGTAATGGTAATAACTTCTATAGAACTTTTTTCAGACATTAGTTATGAACATATTAGATCAATACAGCTAATAATCTATCTCTTGTACCTTTAAACTATGTGAGCGCATTAATAAGTAGTCAGCTTAGTCCAGCTCAGCTGATATGTACCATGAAATTTATTCTGCTTTAAAATGCGTGATAGTTACTGAAAAGCTACAGACATCCTTGAATCCAAGATAATAAATCCAAGGACGTTTGTCTAATTAAGTATATTATGTAAATAAATGTTGTCATGAAGGTTAAATATTTAGAAGGTGGAGGAAGTATTTTCATTTGGGACATTAAACTCCCAAGATCTTGAATCACCTTGGGGAGAAGTTTCCCTGCAAAAGGTAGCTAATGAAAATGTATTATCAGTTCTATAGCTATTTTTCCATATTTATTTCTTCCCTCCCCCAATAACGTGTTACTAGGAATTTAAACTCAGGTCTCAGGATTGCTTTGGTGAGAAAGCAAAATCTAAAAGTTTTAGCTGAGGAGGAGCATTTCATACAGGCCACGGTCAAATAGTGCATTCTCATGAGGTTACTGTTACTGCTGCAAGGAGTCATGTTAGTTCTTTTTAGATTCAATTTTGAGGGATGCCCTGAGGCTACTTTCAAGGCGGATTTGCTGTCCTTCCAGAGAACTAATTTGCAAGCGTGGCCCCCAGGTGCAGCCTCAGAAAACTCTCTGAAGGATACAGGACTCCTCGTGTGTGAGGATCAGTGTGTTGGCAACAGGCTGGTGGCTTAGATGGGTTAATGTGCTGCTGGGCACATCCAGATTGTCTTTCTGTAGCCTGATGGTGAGACTGGGGTGGATGGAAGGCAGGTGGATCTAGAACAGCTCTGGACTCTTTTCAGAATAATGTTCACTGACATACTTGCACACACACTGTGTGTGTGACTATAATAGGATTACTGATATGCTGGTCAGATGGAGATGTCTTCAGGATTGGAGTTTAGGGACTACTATGTAGTATTTGAAAGATAAAATATGAGTCAGGATTTACTTTTGAGTTGCAAGTATTATAAAACTTTAGTGAGAAGTGGATTTTTTTTTAATACTTAAGTGGGTGTTTGGCACATTTGGCAATTTGAGCATGCTTTAAAAAATGTGCCATTTTAATAATTCAATATTTCATACTTTCAAAGCCAATCATGCAAGTACATAACGGTGTATGATTTTTGCCTGTTAGAAGTCAAATGAGACTGTTAAAGCTTAGTAAAGATATGCACATATCTAAGGATGTGAGCTGTACTGATGAGTTCTCCCAGTGTGATAATGGCAGGTCATTAACTTACAGGTGTAATCAGCCTGAGAGGAACTTAATTAATGCTGTGCAGTGCCATCAAAAACCTCACCATCTGAACTAGAATCTTGCTTGCTTCACATTCCTCCTGGAAACTGAGGAAAAACTTCTAGTGCCATAGCACCTATTAGAAGCAATTCCTTAAACAAGAAACACTGAATGTCTCACTTATTAGAGACTTGAGGAAAAAAAAGTAAGAAAAAAAAAATCCCACCAGGACTTTTTTGTGGTTTATAATATGGTGATTGACAAGGTTATTCCCTGATGTCCTGCCCACTTTGTTTTCTGAGACATTGATGGAAATTACGTTCAACAGCTTGTTTTAGTTCTCAGTGAAATGGAAGTAGAGAAAGCTCTAAAAGGAACGTCTAAAGGGGGACATTTGTCTTTTGAAACCGTGTCTCAGCTATGTAGTAGGATACTCTTTGAGCTAACCTTTCAAAAAAAGGTGGGGTTTCCCCCCTCCCTGTATAGGAATTTAAATCCAAAGCCAAATTTGAGTTTGAAGAGTTTTCTCAAAATACTGGTTCCCTAATGTTTCTGTGAAAGGAAGTAATTTTCATTACATGCTTCTCAAGTATTTTAGCGTGTTGATTTCATAAGAAAAATCTGTGACATGGATTGCTGCAGAGGAAATGAGACTGTATTTTCTGGGATACTAGAAAGAAAGGCAAGCAGGTGAATGGGAACAGGAAGTCCATCACAGGCACAAGGGAAGAAGCTTCAAAATACGTTAAAGAAAATTCTGTATTAAAATCCAACCTCTTTAATTTTCCTGAGTGTTAAGAATTTAATTTCACATGAATTGATGAGTCAGTTTATTGGTCACGTTGTTTCGGTTTTTCTCAGTACTTAGATTATACACAGTCTGAGTTCAAAAGAGTTAGGTACACACCATTTGGCAACAGTGAAATATGTGACATAATTTAAATATGAGAACTTAGTTCACCTGAAGTAATTGGTTTCATTTCCTCTGTATACTTGAGACATTCTTTGTGAAAGAGGATGTTTCAGAAAGGGTAAAAGATCTTGGATATTCTTGTAGATGGTGCTGTACAAAATTTTTCACAGGCTGCTTTCATTAAAATACCAGACACATGGGCACACAAACCCACATAAACAAGCAGAAAAGGTATTCCTGAATAAACTAATAACAGCAGGCCATTTAGGGCTGTTAAGGAACTGAGTAGGTTTAAGTTAGGGTTATTAATGGAGAACATCAAGAACATTTTTCCTCTAAATTGCTCTTTCAGCAAGCAAAGGCACTCAGAAGCAGAACATCAGAGTCCAATATTTCTTTCTTATTGTGACCTCCTGGGGCATGGAGCTGCCTTATGCTGTGCAATACTTCTAATCCCTGGTATATTTTCAGAGAAGGATATAACCAAGGAGCTCAGCGACAAATAGTTAATTTTGATGCTTCTTTTAAAACAGGGTTTGCATTTGTTTAAAGCTTTTAACTAGGAGAATACTGGACATAAAGAGAGGAGTTCACTTTTTACCTTGCCTTCTAGCATGTTGTCATAGAACAAGAAGTCCTTGTGTAAGATGAAGTAATTTGGGTACGTATAACATACTAAAGAAGAGAGGTTTGGTGTTGTTCAAAACATAGTTTCAGATCATGATGTCTTCAGTGGCAGCTCTCATTCCAGCTGTACCTTTCTCACATCACCTAATATGCTGTCTTGTGCCTACCTTCAGCGCTGGAACTTGTGGCTGGTATTAGGTACCAGGGTTTTAATTAGATAATTTCTCAGATCTGGTTTGGAGCATGATCAAACAGTCACCTGTCACCAGGGCCAAGGTGGAAGGCTTCCAGAGGCACTGCTTAAACTAGATCTGTTCCTAAAAAGTCATATGTAGTATGTCCTCGGTTAACTGAGGCCAGCCGGTGGTCATACAGTTCTAGCTGTTTCCTTAAGCTGAGACTACGTAAGGTACACTGTAATAATAACTTTTCACTGAATGTGTTTACTGGGCAATTCTGTTTGTGATTGGAAAAGGAAATAGTGTGCATTGTCATATATGGCAGGAGAAGTACCTTGCATCTTTGCCAATAGTGGCAAATTACTCATGAGACACTTTCATAATTCAAGTGTGTGCCAAGAATGCCTAGGAATTTCTCTTGGAATGGAGAGTAAACAGTTCTGCCTTTCCTGATGAAATTTTCTTGGGCAATAACATTGTTTTTCAACAAAGCAACCCAAAGCGCTGTAGGAAAATGCCTCATAAACAATTTGACAAAAATTTTGAAGAGAAGGGAAGACTTTCCAAAAGCTTAATGTGAAAGATATAAAAACTATCACTAATAAGTGAGTAGAGCCCCTGTGATAATCACCATTACCTGCAGTGGGTCACATCCCAGTTGCTCAATAGATGGGTGAAACAGTGGTGGCACAAATGCACCTTTCCTTTGCTTCACACCAACACCAGTGGCAGTGATTCAGCAATAGGGACCAGGCCAAGACAGTTTTTAAGATTTTTCAAGATGTCATTTGGCACTGCTGTTCCAGTGTGCCCATGACAATGCTGGATGTGTCAGTCCTGTGACACTTCTGCCTTCTGGAAGTCTGGAAACAATCTGCCTGATGTTGTCAGCATTCCCCCAAGAAATGACATTTAAGAGGCAACACCAAATGGTA